GGTGACAGCCTCAGGAGCGGCTTTGAGGACTCACCTGATCACTTGTACAGGCTGGGCCTGGGCACATCAGGGCTCTGAGGGGTTTGCATTGCTGTGCTGTAGTGTTTGGAGAGTCTTGTTTCTGTTGGAGTCAGAGGACCCTCCCGACAGAGCTCTGAGCCATAGGACATTGAGCATGGGGAAAGCTGGCTCCAGCTCCATAGTGGGGTTTCCTCTGGCGTGGTAGATGCTTTCGACCTACCATAGGTTGTGTCTATGCCAAGTTCGAGATCCATGGAGCAATGCACTTGAAATGGCTCACAGTGTGCTATGTGACTCTTGTTGGTTGAGAATGTAGCCTGAGAAAAATGAATTCCAGTTTGCCCCTTTGATAAGCACCCACTCACTAACCATTCTCAAGAGGTCTGCGACTGGCACCACCTTAGCATGGCATGATCTGGAACCTGGCTGCTCATGAGCATTGCTCAAGGGTCAGTGCTCTGGCCTGGCCACACAGTGAGACCCTCAGGGAGGCTCTTTCTCTTGAATATTCATAGGATGGCATTGCAGGTAGTCACACTGAGTACACTCCTTATTTTCTATTAGATTGGAATGAGGGCAGAATAGTTCCATTCTGCTCACATCATTGAGAAGATAAGAAAGATGGCTTGTCCCACCAGCACACCATGCTTTGTGAGCTCCGAGTTACCTCTGGCATGGGAACAAGCCTCTCACAATCAGCAGTGATGACGGCACGGAAGTGACTCTGGAGATTCAGAGGTGAAGAGGAAGGAACCTACTCGTGGACAGAGAGGAAGCACTGTGTCCTGTTGTCTGAGAGCAGGGTAGCTGCCACATGTTACACTTCTCCAGTCCACAGTAGCCAGATGTGAGAGGGGCAGAGGAGGGGAAGAGGCATATCCCAAAGTCCCAGAACTCTGCACAAGCTCCGCCAGAATATCTGGTCACCGTTGCACTTGAGTTCACTACTTAGGCCATACGCCATACACACAGAATCAGATTTGAAGCAGTCCAGGCCTGTCAACTGCTTGCTGAGATGAATAGACAGTATTCTTAAAGACAAAGGAACCCAGGCCATTAACAACACATCATTCAACACTTAGGGCACACCAGAATAAAAACATACAAAGAAATGGAACCCATGACAAGAACAGGATGAGCAGAGACTCCTGTAGCAGCTGCTGCACTCAAGGACGGAGCTGTGAAGCTCTTGGAACCTGTGTGGAGGCCGTAAAGGGAGGAGATAGATGGGACACCTTTCTGACTTTACCCTTCTTCATTCGGCCTCCTTTTTCCTGGCTTTGCCTTTCATAGTTAATCTAATCCATTTGGAATTGGCCTCTTTAAAAAAATATTGTATGTGAGCAAGTGTTTTGCCTGCATGTATGCCTGTGCACTGTACGCATACCTGGCCAGAAGAAGGCATCAGATCCTTTGGAACTGGAGTTACAGACAGTTGTAAGCAGTTACGTGGGTTCTGGAAACAAAAGCTGGGTCCTCTGCAAAAGCAGCAGATTCCCTCTTAACTACTTGAGCCACCTCCTCCTGTCTCTTTTTTGTATAAACAGGATCTTACTGCATGATCCAAGTTATCCTGAAACTGTGGGGTTGCAGTACAGGTCACTGCTGGCTCTCAAGAGTCCACCTTTCACTGTGACCAGCCTCTTAGATTACCAGTACCTTTTCCCCAGTTTCTCACACACGGTAAGCAAGAACTCTAACCACTAAGCTACATTTCCAGCCCTCTTTTTATTTTATTTTTTTATATTTTTTTAAAAAATATTTATTTATTTATTATGTATACAATATTCTGTCTGTATTTTATTTTTTTAAGTTGCCTAGGCTGTCCTTGAATTTGTAATTCTCCTGCCTTAGGCTTGCTTGCAGCTGGGAAGACAGAGCTGAGCCGCTGGGCCCAGTTCCTGAATTACTTGTGAAAACCTCTGTTCTCCTTTGATGACCATTATTGCAACCTGGAAACACAGACAGGGTTTGGGCAGTTGGCTGTCGTTTTACTCTGCACATCACCAACTCTCTGCCTGAGGTTGCAGTTCCGGTGTTTATGTCTACTGCAAACCCAGGCCTACAGTGAGGAGGGATTTGCCTGACCCCAGTGGGGCCTTTTCCATAGTATGCACACTGCGGCAGGGAATGCTCTACACAAACCCCGTGTGGAGAGGTATCAGAGGCCAGGACTTGACATTGTTATTCATGAAGATTTGAGCACTGTCATCTTTCCTCATCTTAAATAACTCAGTTATCTAGTGATACTAGGGACGTCCTGGTTTCTATGATTATTAATAACTAACATGTGTTGTAAGTCCTTATTGCTTCTAATACTCTGTTGTCTATTAAATTTCTCCATTAACATTCTAACAAGGGGAGAAATACGACGTCTTCCTCATAATTTTATTTTAAAAGTCCTGTGTTGCTTCTTGATAGCTACTGTCTGGGTTCTGGCCTTTTCCCAAGCCATGACCAGTCATCCCCAACAAAGCAGGCTCATCTGTCTGTCTGTGGAGAGGACAGGGATGCCAGGAAGAGACAATGGTCATATGCTGAGTGAACATCTGAGTGTCAGGAGCATGCCAGACAGAGGGACAAGGCTTGGTTCTACGGAATGAGCCCTAAGGAGAGCTAGAGACACACACAAACCAAGGTGTTGGATCCCTTGTGGTAAAAACAAACAGAAGCAAAAAAACACATATACTACAAACAGGGTTTCTACATGGCCAATTACAAAAGGTTCCTCTGAGGGAGGCCAATGGGAGAAAGCCAACTGGAGCTTAAAGATCAACGTACCCAGACTTACAGGCACACTCCCTATTTTAGCAGTAGATACTTGCTTAAATTAATGAGCCTAGCCACTCCTGGTGGCACAGAACAATAATCTCAGCACTTGAGAGGCTGATACAGAATGATCATACATTCAAAGCCAGCCTGGGCTACACATTGAGAGTTTGTTTTAAAAAACAAAAATAATGGGTTGAACAGATGGCTCTTGTTGGTCCCCGACACCTACAGAGACTCATAACCATCCTTAACTCCAATTTCAGAGAGTAATATGCCTTTTTCTGGGGCTCCACAGATACCAGGCATATATGTAATATACACACATGCATGCAAGAAAAACACACATCCTCATTAAATAAATCTTTTTTAAAAAAGTAAATTAATGTTTGGAATAACCCTTCAATGGGAGGAAAGATTGTTTAAAGTCCAGGGTCAAGGTGAAGATACATCCTCATCAATAAAACATTTGATGTACAAACACAAAGACCTGAGTTGGTAATATTCCTAGAATCCACATGTAACAACTCAATGTGGGCTGGGTGGTGGTGGTGCATGCATGCCTTTAATTCCAGAACTTGGGAGGCAGAGGCAGGCAGATCTCTGTGAGTTCGAGGCCAGCCTGGTCTACAAGAGCTAGTTCCAGGACAGGCTCCAAAGCTACAGAGAAACCCTGTCTCGAAAAAAAACCAATTAAAAAAAAAAAAAGCTCAATGTGGTAGCATTCTTTTATAATTCCGGTGCTATGGAGGCAGAGACAGCCCAGGTTTCAGTGAGAGATCCTGTCTCAAAAAGCAAGGTTGCTGAGAACCATGGTAGACTTCTGGCATCTGCCCACAGACACCCACACACAAAGCAAACAAACAACTCTTTCAAAATACAATCAAACTTTTATTCAGTATTAAAAGGAAGTGAGCTGGCTGGACAGTGGTGGCACAGACCTTTAACCCCAGCAGAGGCACATGGATCTCTGTGAGTTCAAGACCAGTGTGGTCTACAAGAGCTAGTTCCAGGACAGACCCCAAAGCTACAGAGAAACCCTGTCTCGGGGGGGAAAAAAAGAAAAAAAAAAGAGGAAGTGAGCTGACTGGCTGGGCAGTGGTGGTGCACGCCTTTAGTCCCAGCAGAGGCAGAGAGGCAGAGGCAGGCAGATCTCTGTGAGTTCCAGGACAGCCAGGGCTACACAGAGAAACCCTGTCTCAAAAAACAAAGGAAAGAAAAGAAAAGAAAAGAAAAGAAAGGAAAGAAAAGAAAAAGACACAGAGGATCCTTAACCTAAATCAAATAAATCATTCTGAGAAGCCACAGACCGTGGTTCCAGTCTGAGCCTTCTGGAAAAAGCTGAACTACAGAAAAACAGGAAAAGAGAAAAACCAGCAACAGCCTTGGTGGGCAGAGGGGAGGATGAGCAGGAACGGCAGGCAATTCTCTGTGTGATGTGCTGATAGTGGACACGTGACTGACAAGTGTGAAGCCCGGTGCCAAGCTCGGATCTGGGCAGCAGTGTGTGTGTCCCTGCATTCACTGGTGTGACCAGCTCACCCCAACTGGTGTGACACATTACTGCAGACAAAAGGGGACTGAGGAAGAAAGTGGGTAGGTGAGAACTGGAAACCAATTTTCTTCACAATTTTGGGTTTGTTTTCTCTTGATTTTACATTTATTCATTTATTTAGGCTTTTTGAGACAGGGTTTCTCTGTGTAGCCCTGGCTGTCCTGGAAGTTGCTCTATAGACCAGGCTGGCCTCAAATTTATAAAGATCCACCTGCGTTTGCCTCCTGAGTGCTGGGATTAAAGGCATGCGCCACCACCACCCAGCTAGGTTTTGTGGTTGTTGTTTGTTTCTTTTGGAAGAGAGAGAGTATCACATAGTCCAAGATGGCTTCAAAGTTGCTATGTGGGTAAAAATAACCCTGAACTTCTGATTATCATGCCTCTACTTCCCAGTGCTGGGAGTTCAGTCATGTTTATGCACTGCTGGGGATCAAACTGAGGGCGATGGACATGCTAGGCAATCAGTCCATTGACTGAAACACAGTCGTGGGCCTTATGCGCATTTTTTCTGTAAACCCAAAACTGCTCATAAAAATACATTTGAATATTTATAAAAGCTATTTTATAAGAGAAAGCACTGGGGAAGGAAGGGGATATTTTGCTGGGTGCCAAGGGCAGAGCCGACTCCATAATACCCTAGCAGGCCTAATGTGTGATGTCTGTCATGGTGTGGAAGCTGCTGCTGCTGCTGCTGCTGCTGCTCCAGGCTGGGTCCACGTTCCAGGCTAGGAAGACAGAGGTGATTTTAGCCTATAAGGTGAGCTCAGACTATGTCTTCCCACTGCATGCTTATTAGATAGGAGGCTGGAATCTAGTTCACAGAGGCCTGTGGCAGGGTGGGGAAGCCAGGGCCTCCATGATCTGGGCAGGCCCAGTAGGGAGGGACTTGAGAACACAGACCCTAAGCTGCACAACTGTAAAGTGTCTGAGGATACACCCTACTGCTGCACCTAACCCTCTTGCAACCCCATCTGCCAATGGAGCCCCAAAGACACAGCAGATTGGAGAAAGCTCCAGAAGGCAGGGAACAAGGACTCTCTGAGGATCTCCCATAATTCCTTTCTGTGCCTTTGCACACACACCCAAATCACCGGTGCTGTGTCCTATTGCTCTGTGGTTCGCTTCTCCTCTGCCTTCTCTCCTGTGTGCCCTGGTGTGGCTCCTCGCTGACCTCTGGTTGCGGTCTCCTTAGCAGTTAACCTACAGCCAACACGCTGTTTTTGTTTTAAAAAGCAAGACAGAAGGGATCTGGGTGGAGCTCCCTGGTCTTCCTTTGCTAGCTCCTGCCGAGCTAACTGTGCAACCCCGGGAAAGTGGTTGCCTCCGAGCATCTGTTTCTTCACCTGGCATCAGAGGTGAGCCAGACAGCGCGGGGTTTGTCTATAGTGCTTCCTGCCCAGGCCCTATTGCTCTGCCACCTGGCCCTCCTTCTGTCTCAGCTTGCCTTCTGTGCACCTGGCCTATAACAACAGACGCTTTGGGGGGTGGAGGGACTGAGGTTTGGCTTTTTTGAGACCAGGTTTCTCTGTGTAGCCCAGGCTGCCTGGGCATGCACTCTAGACCAGGTTGCCCTTGAACTCGGAGATCTGCCTGCCTCTGCCTCCCTTGGGCTGGGATCAAAGGTGTGAGCCACTCGGCTCTGCTAAGATGATCTCACACTATCTCCCCACTCCTCATCCTTCCCCTACTGACATCTACCTTTTCTGTCTTCTTCCCAGGTCAGACAGCTCATCTTGAATTGAAGGGTGGTTGATTTAAGGAAGCCAGAATGGGTGGTGGTAGTGTCTGACCAGAGAAGCCCTTCTGGGGACTGGGTCTGCTGAACTGCCCTGGGGCAGGTAAACAGAATCGGAATGTTTCAGGTGATCGGAGAGCCGTGTGCACACAATTCTGAATGTCAGAGTGACTGCTGTGTCACTAACAGCTTGAACCCGCAGAAGTTCTGCACACCCCAGACCGTGTTCTTGCAATGTTTACCCTGGAAGAAGGTGACTGGGGCCCCTAGTGACACCCAGGCAGGGAAAGAAACCAGCAGGGGGCACCTTCTGGCCCCACTCCTACCTGGTTTTGGATGAGCTAAAGGAAGTGGCCCCTGTGGGGGGTGGGATATAAGGGAGTCCCCAAGGGTGCTAGAGGGAAGGGAGTCCCTGGCAGCAAAAAATGCTGGTCTCCTGCTCCCTCACAGCCGAATGGACATTTCTGTGAAGAACACTTGGAATGCTACAGCAACTGCTGCATCCGGACTGGCGACAGCCCTAACAGGTTCTGCTCAGCAAAGACCATCTTCTTGCAGTGTGTATCTTGGCGCAAGGTGAGCATGGAGCAAGGGAACAGGTGAGGGGCCACCCCATGGGAGCGGGCTCCCTGGTGAGAAAAGGGAAGGAACACCCTCCCTGGGGCTAGATGATATCTGACCATCTCTCTCCAGCAAGAAGGGGACAAATGCCAAAGCCACTCAGAGTGCTGGAGCCTATGTTGCCTCCCGCTGAGTGAGACCAGCTCTCCCCACTGCACAAAGAGAACTGGGCTCTTGGCCTTGTGCCTGCCAGTGGTAAGTCACCCACCTCAACCCCCACCTACTAAAGCTGCAGAGGGCAGGTCCCACCAACAAAGGGCACAGTGACTGCTTGTGGTTAAGGGTCCCTATGCAGTTGCTAAAGTGGAGGAGACAGCTGGAGCAGGCTGGGGGGGGGGGTGGAGGTGACTGTTCCTGGATCAGGCACTGAGCCTGGTGTGAAGCTACACAATGATAAAGGTCTGTTGATCCCACCTGGAGGGACCAGAAGCTTGCACAAGCCAGGAAGCTGGTGTTTAAAGTACCAGGAGCTGGGGCAGAACCAGTCTCCAGGCCTACAGGAGTGTGTCTATATCTGTACATGTGTATTATATCTGTATATTCTGTCTCTCTCTGTATTTCATAGCTCTGTCTCTGTCTGTCTCTGTCCCTCTATCTGTCTCTCCGTATCTGTGTATCTGTCTGTGGTATCTATCAAGTAAAGGTATCATTACAATTACCAAGTAGAAATGTCTCCCAACTTCTCTCCTTCCCGTCTCCTTTACTTTCTACTGGTCCTTAGTGGAGCCCGAGGACAAGAGAGGACTACAGAGAATGAACACTGTGGGAGTCGGCAGCAAGACTGTATGCATGGGCTGTGTAGACCATGGGTGCCATGTGGAGTTAAATACGTATTTTGCTGTTTGACATCATAATACCAACCTGTGCACAGGGGTCTATGGCTCCTAAGGTTAAGAATATGGTACCTGCTGGGTGGTGGTGGCACATGTCTTAAATCCCAACACTCGGGAGGCAGAGGCAGGTAGAGCTCTGTGAGTTCGGGGCCAGTCTGGTCTACAAAGTGAGTTCCAGGACAGGCTCCAAGGCTACAGAGAAACCCTGTCTCAAATAACCTAAAAGAACATGGCACCTGCCAGAAGGGCCCCCTCCTGTTGGATCTGCTTTAGCTTGATTGCCTCTAGGGACATCCTGGCACAGCTTAAATGAAGGAAAGGGTCAGGTAGTCACAGCGTCTGGACCCGAACAAGGGTGCTGTGGTTAGTGCTTAAAATCAAACTCATGTAATTTTTCTCTCTGATTTTTGCTGCCCTTTAGTGAATGAACAAGAGCCTGCAACCACAGAACTAAAACTGGACTTCAGAGAGCAGAGAGTGCTCTGTTCACATCCATGCTGGTTCCTTATTTGGGTTCTAAAATTCTGTGGAAATTAGAGATGTCTGTTGCTTGTTGTTAATATGAACTTGAGTACTACAGCTTCTAAGAACAAATCATAGAATTGCTGATCAATTACTACACAGAAATAAAAAAAACTACTGATTGGTGAGAAAGTATCTGTGCAGTCCATAGCTCGCTCGCTCTCTCTCTCTCTCTCTCTCTCTCTCTCTCTCTCTCTCCTTATTTCTCTAATATGGATACAGTGTTCTGCCTGCATGTAGTCCTGCATACCAGAAGAGGGCACCAGATCTCATTATAGATGGCTGTGAGCCACCATGTGGTTGCTGGCAATTGAACTCAGGACCTTTGGAAGAGGAACCAGTGCTCTTTACCGCTGAGCCATTTCTACAGGCTGTTTTTCTTTGGCAGTTTCTCCAGTGTGAGCTGCTGAGGTCCCCCTTACTCCCCAACTTTGACCCAGGTCCACCTTTGTTGTCCACACTTGCCCATGCTGGGCTAGCTGAATTTGCCCCTGTTCAGCTCCCTTTCTTCTTCCTCCCTTCCTGATGAGCCCTCTGCAGAAGGGGGTCCTTCAGTTCCATTTGGCTTATGAGTCCAATACCTGCTTTATATTTTCCTAGACTCCTCATGACCAGGGCCCTGGACCTTAGACGTGCTTCACTTAGACTGCTGGGTGTTTGAAGGGGAATAGCACAGTCTCTGGTCTTCATTTACACTGCTGGTGTTTGAAGGGGAATAGCACAGTCTCTAGTCTTCACTTAGACTGCTGGGTGTTTGAAGGGGAATAGCACAGTCTCTGGTCTTCCTGTGTCATAAGTGTCTTGTGCCATCTCTGTCTTTCCCTGAGCATTGCTGAGGAATGTGGAGGTGATACTATGAACAAGCTGTGGCTGGGATCACCGAAAGAGTTTGAGATGTTGGTGTCTTTCTTAGGACAGGATGTGGCCCAGCCTGGTCCGCTCAAGGCTGTAAGTTTAAACCCCAATACCACAAAAGAAGATGCCTTTTGCTTACTAACTTAATAGTAAAGTGTTTATTACATCAACTGTAAGGCAAACTATAAAAATGTGTAAGTTCAAAGTGGTAATATGCAATTTTTAAGAATTGCTGACATTTCTAGGACGTTTTATTTCCAACTTTTTGGTTTCAGCATTATCTTTAACAGTACTTACAAAATAGCATTTTTGGGCCAACAAGATGGTTTAGTGAGTAAAGGCACTTTCTACCAAGGCTGACAACTTGAGTTCTGTCTCTGGGATCTACAAACTGCCATCTGATCTACACACACACACACACACACACACACACACACACACACAGAGAGAGAGAGAGAGAGAGAGAGAGAGAGAGAGAGAGAGAGATATGGGGCCACGCCTTCTTCCTAATGAAATAAATGCAAGCCTAAATGAATAAAATATCATTTTGTGATGTCTACTAATGAAAGAAAAGAAAATTAGCTGAGTCTTTCCACTGAAAAGACTGAGGTAACCTCACTTCCCGATGGATGTTTCTCAAAATACATAACTTGGGACTCATTACTTAAACAACCACGAGGACTCTGTGATGGTTCTTCGTGGTTATCAACTTGACACATCAGGAATCAAAACACAAATGACTGCACATACCTGTGAGAAGGTTTTTTTGTTTGTTTGGTTTTGGTTTTTCAAGACAGTGTTTCTCTGTATTGCCCTGGCTGTTCCAGGCTGGCTTCTTGTTTTTTTTTTTTTTTGTTTTTTTGTTTTTTTTGGTTTTTCGAGACAGGGTTTCTCTGTGGTTTTGGAGCCTGTCCTGGAACTAGCTCTTGTAGACCAGGCTGGTCTCGAACTCACAGAGATCCACCTGCCTCTGCCTCCCGAGTGCTGGGATTAAAGGTGTGCGCCACCATCACCCAGTCTAGTTTGTTTGTTTTTTTTTAAAGCAAGGTCACAGGAACACACAATGAAAACCGTGACCTGAAAGCGAAGAAGACACAAGAGTAAAGCATGACGGAGCCTTGAGTCACAGGTTTTTGATGTTTTCTTTGTTGTGCCTGAGTCCAAGGACCCCCAAGAAGACCACCACGGAGCCACACTTCCGAATGCAAAAGCAAGATTTTGTTTATTAAGTACAAGCTAGCACAGGTCCTCTGCCTCATAGTCTGACACCGCAGATGGAGGGAGAAGGACCCCGTCTATTTTTGCAAGGGGCTTATAAAGCTAAAAAAAAAAAAATCACAAAGCAATCCCAAGGTTACAGTCTCAAAATACAAAATTACTTATCCTATATCACCATTGGCTAAAGGTGAGGTATAGCTCAGCTGTTAGCTCCTGATAGGCAGTTAGTATCTGAAGGGGATAGCAACAGCCCCCCAGTTACGTCCTCCAGACATCTGCTGACCCTGTGCTAACCTCAGAGGCAAAACAGTGGTTAACCAGGACGTTTGAAGCAAGCAGATTAAACAGATGTTGTTTGAGTACCCTGGTGGGCATCCTGGTCACTTTGAGCAGGGCAGACACAGTTTCTTGGGAATGTTTATGATTTTCCCGGACTGCATTCAGCCCCCTAGTTAGGTCCTGTCTAAAATGGAGTTCTTTTTCAAAATGGAGTTTGTTTTGTTCCTTCCTTCTTTAGCAATTACTTCTAGTTAATGTTAACCAGTTCAAGACCCTGTGCTGTTCCAAAATGAGCCACCAGGTGGTGCTGTGACCTTGGTAGAGCAGAAACACCTTGGCAAGAAAGCACCTGATTCAGAAAACACAAAATACGGGCAGCGGTGGAACAGACTGCTGTTGTGCCCAAGCTGTTCTGTGAAGATCTGCTTTGTAACACTTCTTTTTCCTGATGAATAGCTTCAGCTTGAGCCAAGTGGGTTGTAAAACAAACACAAGGAAGAAGGGGATCACAGCTCTGCGAAACCCCAGGCTGGAAACCTTTAAGGACCAAGTCACCACAGGCATTGAATCTCTGGAGTCAGCGATCAGGGTTGGCTGGGGAAGTGATTCCTAGGGTTGAGACAGAAACTTGGTCCATGGGAAGTAAAAAATTGATGGGCCAATTCAAGGTGCAGCAGGCTGAGTGTTGTTGATTCCTGGAGAGCCTTTCCAGGGCAGTCGCACCTCAGAAGTGCTCTGTGGCTTTAATACTATGGGAAATGAGGTGGCTGTTGCTCAGTGCGTTTTTATTCACGTCAGGAAAGACTGGAGTCTACAATTACCGTCACAGACCATAGCTTAGCAGAGCCGTTGGCTTGTCCTGTGGTGTTACCTCAAGAGCACAAGCTGCCAGGTGACAGGATGGCAAGGCTGGTGAGGCTGCAGGACAAGCACCTGGTCTTTTTAGAGCCCACTGTGAACGCAGACCTGAGGATGGAAAATCTATTGAGCGAGGGAAGGCCCCAGGCAGCAGTGAACTACTGTTGTTCTTAATTCCTGCGGGTTGTTCTTAATTCCTGCGGGTTAGACGAGGGTTACGCTAGAAAAGACACAGACACGCGGCGGTACCACGTGGTACACTTTTTAATGGGAGGGGAAAACACACTAGGAAAAGTAAAAGGAAGGGACAAAGGGAAGGGATAAGAAGGGGCGAACTTGTGGCTTGCCCTTGCTTTTAACAGAGGATGCAAAGGCTTCTGGGAAATGTGTCCCACGCTTGCGTGCGCTGGAGTCCAGAGGGATGTTGGGAGTTGTAGTGTTGCAAGGGAACAACATTTCACCCTTTTGGTTTGATTAAAAAGAAATTGGGGGACCTTAAAGGGTAGGGAATGGGGGCGTAGTCCAGTCTCTCATGGCTGCTTCCTGCTGACTTTGGGCGTTGAGGGGTCCAGGGAATGTCCGATTATCTTGGCAATGTCCCATTGGCGTTTGCGGTCGCTGGTGTAGTTGGTCACTGATGTCCATGTCCAGGGTTGCTGGCTGGTGTAGTTGGTCAATGATGTCCAGAGTTGCTGGCTGGTGTAGTCGGTCACCGATGTCCAGGGTTGCTGGCTGGTGTAGTCGGTCACTGATGTTTGAAGTCCTGGCTGTCGTCTGAGGTGGCTGATTGAAGAAATCTGTGTGGCTTTTCCTGAGTAGCTGGGTCATCATTAAGATGCTGGAAGGCAAAAGTTGCATTAGTAAAAGAAAAAAAAATTAAAAGAAGGGGGGGGAATTTTTGGAGAGCTGGGGTGAAGAGGGGGGGGAGAGGGTCTTAGGATGTCCGGGGTTAAGAAATGATAAAAAAATTAAGTGATACTTATTCCTTTGTGTTTGATCCGTTGGGCTGGCATCCCGGAGCTTAAGGAAACTGTCTTAAAAGAAATAGATTCTAACCATACATCTCTTAACATTTCAGGGGCCACTGCTGCAGTCAGCAGCTGACCTGTTACGTAAAAGAGCTTTGTAGAGGAGAATCTGCTTACCACTTGCCTTCATATTTGATGGGGGTACCTGTAACGACAGCTAGACGGTTATTTATGAATTTAAAGAAGGGAGGGTGTGTTAACACAGCGACGGATCGGGACCATTGTTTTCCTTAGACTGTAGCAGAGGGAACTGAATCCGGCGTCCTTTGGAACCTAAGAGAACAGGGTCCGGTTTGGGTCACCGTGTATGAAGGATTATCTTGAGCTGTGGAGACAAACGGTTAAGTGAATATTTGGTCCTGGGATCTGACTTTTGGCAGATCTGACAGGAGGCTGCTGTAGCTTTTAGGAGCCTGATATCCTTAGGTGTAACAAAGGGAGAGTGGTGGTTAGTGACAGCGGGAGCCTAGAGGGGCCTTGGAAGACCGAGGGGGAGGCGTAGGACAGGGAGGAGACGCTCCAAGCTGCCTGTGTGGCCTGTGGCGGAGGGGAGGCAGGGAAGAATCGGAAGACATGGAAGACACGCACGACCTGTTGCGGGAGAAGTGGGGCGAGGCTGGCCCGGAGAAGGAACGGTAATGGGTGAGCTGTCGCTGTCGCTCAACTGGGCGGAGCGAGAGCGAGTGGCCCCCCCGAGGCGCGGTGGGGGGTGTGTGAAGGCAGGGGGGTTGAGGTTTGTCCGCGGGATCCATAGCAGCGGCGGGAGCAGAGGGTCCCCGGAGGGATGGCATTGCACCAGCCTTCCAGATGTGGGGGTTGGTTACAGAGCCCACGACTGAAACGAAGTCTGTCCGCAAAAGGTAACTGGCCCGAACCCAGCTACCGTACGGGGGGAGGAAAGGCCCCGGCCCCGGCTGGGAGGAGACAATTACCGTGAACACGGCAAGCCAAGAGCGCTGGCATCCCGGGCGTTCTTGGGGCGTGCTAACTCTTAACTGCCCTGACCCAGCAACCGTACGGGAGAGAAAGTCCTGGCTGAGAGGAGGCGATTAAGCTCTTTAGGGCACAGGGCCCGGAGGTGCCACAAGAAGCGGCCCGAAAGTGGACAGGAAAAAGTTAGAAAAAAGGAAGAAAAAAGAGAAAAAAGCCCGGAGCACCGAACTCCGGGTGCGCGGACTGAGCGTTTCGGCCGAGGGCAAAAAACCGGGGGAGGCGGGTTAGCAACCTAGCCCTAGCCCGAGGTGCGCAAAGAAAGCCGGCCGGACAGTCTTCGAACGCCCCAGGGGGAAGGAAGCCAACTCAGGGTAACTCACGGATCAGGATGAAGCTGTGGAAATGGCCGTGGAAACAGGTGGTGGTGAGCGAAGGCTGTCGGTTCTTTGGACCTTGTCG